TATTTCCAAACTTCTGCAGTATCTGCATAAGTTTTATCCACCAGTGGTAATGTCAGGCATAAGATTTTCATTTCTTTGACAATATTCTCGAACCAACGTTTGTTCATTTGCGACTGCAGGATGTAGCAAGATTGAACTGAACAGTTGAACAATCACCCGCATGGGCATCTCACCATCGAGTAATGATAGTTTAATACAATTAAAGCAGACCCATGCCGCTTTCTTTCTTCGTCAGATTTCGCTGTATAGCGAGTTCACACGATTCATCTGACTGCCAGGTATGCATATGTGGCGACTTTTTCGCCATTCGCATATGCAGAACTCTAGAGACAATTCGTGCTTCGCGACTTCTTATAGGAGAGGTTAACCTCTTAATAAATGGTGAGAGATTCTTTGTGCACATGCGAAGTGACCACTATTTGAATGGAATAACCCAGGATTTTTCAGGCTAATGAAGACGTCAGTTTCAGGCGTCAATCACTCAGGCTAACGAAAGCGTCAATCATTTGATTCGCTCACTAATGGTACACTGATACTACTCATTGCAGTATTTTTTGTCTTTTCGAGGTAAAAAATGGAGTGCACTGTTTGCTCCACTTAAGCAATAAACCAGTCACGCAGATTTCGACAAAGTACGCCACTCAGGCGGTTTACGCATTCTCAACCACAACTGTCAGTAAAATCATAAATCCAGTTCATTAAAAAAAGAAACATGCGTGAACAAAGTAATCCTTGAACAGCAGAAAATAATCAAAGGATAACCACCATTACAACAGTAAAATCAGACATTGCCAAAATCGAATGCCTGGAGAATAAAATGACTTTATTCAAAGAATCAGGTTGCATGATATGAGCGAATCATGTCCAACATACGCGCAGATGATCACTGTACAATAAATTAAAATAGTTGGATAGCATTTCTAACAAAACCATTGAAAATAAACTTACTCCGGAGATGAAACAATATCGAACAATGCGATAAATAAAAAAGCTTTCTTAAGCTGACTTATAATATCGAAAATTTAAACGCGAAACTTAGTTCCTAAGTGAATGTCCAACGTCCTGGTTTTCATCAGTTCCGTAGACAACTGCCAAAAACAAAACCAAAACCTGATTACTTTACGAGTGTTTGTTTTATCTTGCGTGAGAGACGAATTTTCGCTCGAATTTAATCTAAGCCAGATGCGATTCAAATTAGTATTTTTGCAGAGTTGACGAGTCAGCGTGCCGGCATTCATTTCATTTCCTGAATTTGTTTGATCAGATACGCCTTTTCGTCATTAAACTGTTCATCTTCAGTCCTATCCGAATGGAACTTGCTCAAAAACTCGACCAGCTTTTCTCGGTTGCGGATCAGTATGTCAGCGATCGGCTTCGGCTTATTCGGATTGGCAACGAAAACCTGCGGATACGTTGTCGTTAATATTTCAGAGCGAAATCAAATCACAAAATAATAAATGACAAAAATAATACATTTAGCACAATGTGTAAAGATACTGTCGAATAAAATGACCACGGTAAGGAAATGGTTTACTTTTATATCAGAAATCGGCAGCTTAAAGCCATCTGATTCATTCGTCTCCCGCGAATACAGCAGTCCATCAGAGCTGACCAATATGACCCTGTACCTTAAATAATAGGATTCCTGCTACAAAAGAACTTGAAAATGGTGCGGGAACCCGCTGAGAGAGGCTAAGGCGGTGACGCTGTCCGACATTCGCCAATTACATCTTTCCATGATCGAAACTTCACAAAGTGCTCTACTTCACTGAATTCGTTGGGTTTGGTGATTGTTCAGGAGACGTTGGCAATAATTCACGAGGGCTAGCACATCGGATGAACTGTCAAACAGTTAAAACGATCTAAGATAAAAGGAAACCAGGAAAACAGATGTAGGCTGCCGCTTCGGCTTGAACAACATCTACGACTCGGTAGACCACCGGACGCGCGTGTCAGGCAAATTTGGAGTGTCATCAAGAACTCTTCATGGCCAGTGATAATGCAAAAAAGCTATCGACAGACGCATTTATCGAGATCTAAATCACAGAA